GTAGGAAAAACAAAAATAATTTATGGGAAGCATTTTTGGATGCGTTACGTACAACTGCATATCCATCTAATTGATTTATTCTAGAATTTTTTGTACGATGTGATTAATTTTAAGTGATATTTAATAAATACGTACCCGATTTTCCCATTATTCTATATATCATCCTTTTTAAATATTATTAAATTATATAAAATTAATAAAACAAAATAAAATTATAAAATATATTGATAATAGTTGTATAATTATAATTATATATAATACTTCAATTAATTGATAATATTAATAATATATAATAAAAAATTCATAATTTTTAGTAAAATTTTGAAGAATAATATCTTGATAACTAATAATCTAAATTAGCTCAAACTCAGCTCACAGTTAGAAAAGATATTATTCTATAAAATATTAAAGTCTTGGCTAATTTGAAAGGGTAATCGATTGTATATAATAGTCAATTTTTTTAAAAAAATTAACTATTGTATAAAAGTGATTTCTTAAGAACTACTAGGCCAAATTGACTTAAACTTTAATATATCATAAAAACTAACTATGATAAAAATTTGAGCCATTAGTTATTGAGATATCTATCTTCAAAGTTTTGCTAAAAATTATGAATTTTTAAACTATTATTAAAAAATTTTTTAATAAAATATAAGTATCTAATATTTTATAATCTAGACCCCTATATAATTGAGTATGTAATGAAAAAAACTTTTGTTTGTATTGAACTTATAATATGTTAACAATAGTGTTCCACAGAACTGAACCAAAGATCCAGAACTGAACTGGAACCAAACCCTAATTCGGGTCTGGGTTTATAATTTTTAGAAAAACCTAGTTCCAGATCTCTAGTTAGACCTGAATTGAAACAAATAGCACATGCTAATTGGCTGTATTCTGGTAGTTTCAAGTTTTTTTGGTTTTGAGTCTTATTTTGGACCTGACCTAATTTTCAGTTTGGGTCTGGGTCTTTAAAAGACCTGCCTAGAACCGGTCTGTGTCAACTAGGGTTCCTCAAAGTCAAATCAAATCAAATATTTTGTTAATTTGAATTTGATTTGATTTGAAATTTCTGTATTTGAATTTGATTTGATCGAATCAAATTCAAATCAAATTAAATTTATTTGTAATTTTTATTAAGTATTTTCAAATCGAATCAAATATTTTGTCAATTTGAATTTGATTTGATTTGAAATTTCTGTATTTGAATTTGATTTGAGATCAAATATTTGATCAAATCAAATCAAATCAAATCAAATTGCAGAACCCTAAAGGCTACACCTTCTGCTGTAATTATAGTTCCCGGGCCAAGTCCCATGCAGTAGCACTATATTCATCTGTAAACAAACATGTGGTTGTAATCTACTAGTTCATCCAAATTTGGGAAGTAGACAATGCTGATCTTTTGGAGGGGGTAAGCAAAATCTCCACTTTTTGTTGAAAAATTTTGGAAGAAAGGCAAGGAAGCAAAAAAAAGATAGTAGGCACCACTTGGCCAGAAAAAAGGAGTGTGGCTTAAAAGAAGCCCATTCTTTACTGTTTCCCAGTTGTTTCACAACTGATAACTTTGTCAACAGAAGGCTTGGACTTCTATCACCTTCACCTATCCACCAAAATTTCATATATGAGAACACCATCTTCTGCCAGTTATCTTGTATACAGATGCTTTTGGCTTGCATGTTGAATATATAAAGGAGTCCCCCAAGAATAGAAAAATGTTAACCTTTATAAAAACTGCCCTGTTGATTCACCTTACTACAGGTTACTGCTTTTCTTTTCATCAAAAAGAGTTTGCCAATATATTTGTTATATATATTTATATAATATATAATTATATATATTATTTTAACTTACATACTTACATGTAAGTTACATGATCATAACTTACCTTACATTAAAAAATTAAAACTTACTGTAAGTTTACAACCCTAATTGCGATATCTTGAGCAATAATATTTTTTAACTTCATAGCTACTTCTTGGATAGTTGGTCATTTATCTTGTATCCCTTGCCAACATTCTAAATTTAGGTAAAATCAGGAGCTTATGATGTAAGACAAAAAATAAATAAATAAATATAAGCTTCATATTATAATATAAACGTTAATAAATAGTAATATATTTGTGATTTGTATCAGAAACGGGTTTCTTTCTTAGTCCGCTTCTTATCTTAAATTGTAGAGTTGCAGTAACTTCGTCTTTAAAAGGAGGTTTTCACTTGATATTTCCCAAAGGATAACTCCAATGCTATAAACGTCCGATGTTTTATTCATTTTATGTCTGCGAGACTTTCCATCTTGACTTTCTACAAGCATAAAACATTGAGGATCAATATATGGTATAACTCCTAGATTTAGAAGTTTCGACAACACGCTGTGATAATCTGAAGTCAGCTAATTTTAGGGTTAATTGATGGATAAGAATATTATTAGAGTGCTTTAAAGGTGAAGAACAAAAATCCATATAATTTCATTAGAATCACATTTTATTAATTTGAGAACCTAAATTATCATAAAATTTACTAAATCACCACGAATTAGAGTCAACGTTAATACCTCAACCCGGATATATTTTTTTAAATTTAATCTGGATTTATTTATATCCAGTTTTCGTAAATTCTGGAAAATCTGGCAAAATTAACTGACTGAATATTTGCCGATTCGATAAGTTTTGATTCATTACTTATTTCAAAAATAAGTAGAGGTACAAAATATCCTATTTCTGTTTTATAGAAGTTATCTTGAAATAAAATTAGTAACTTTTTTTTTTTTTGATATCATCGTAATGGGGTAATTCATAATTAACATATTTCGAAAATAAGTGGGAGTACAAAATGTCCTATTTCTGTTTTGAAGGTTTGAAAAGAAATAGGAGTTATCCGAAGATAAAATGAGCAACCTTTTTTTTTTTATGTTTTATTGTTATCTTATGATATTATCGTAATAATTAATAAAGAACTACAAAAATTATCATTTAAAATTTTTTTAATGTTCTAAGTAAACATGTTCTACGCATAAAAATACATCATATTACTATATGTTTACCTTATAATTTTAAAGAGTGAGAGAAAAATGTTTAATTTTAAAATTTTTGATCAAAAATTCAAAATTAAGCATCTTTTCTCTTAAAATTTAAAATTATAAGGCAATCATATACCAATATGATGTATTTTTATGCGTAGACAGGTTTGCTTAGAACATTAAGGTAGGTTTAATTAGTACAATTATGTGGATTTTAATATTTCCTATAATTTTATTAATACATTTATAGAAAATATTGTGATTTTTAAATGTTGCTGTATCAAGACTAATTTAGCCAAGTGCAATTTTAAGTATCTGATATTGCAACATCAGGCATAACACTATCACTAATTTTTTTGTTCAAAGAATCATTTGCTTGCATATTCACAATATTTACTCGTAACCAATGAAATAAATACAAGCATTTGTACTTTACGACCGCCTAGAAGAGCAACCGAACTCACATGTACAGGTTAAATCCTCGATTGAAGCTATAGTGTTTTTTATTTAATTTGATGGGACACAATTGTTAACAATAGTTGGAATATTTTATTGCTACATTGCTACGTTACAACAATATTATAAATACCACTGTTTCACACAATGTATACTCTTCCTATATAATGAAGCAATTATAAATGCACATGAATAACTTCCCATAAATTATTTTTTCTAAACTTGAAATATGCCATATTATTTTTATTTGAATTTTTGGCCTTTCTGATTCAATTCTTTCAAATAAATAAATTAGTAACATGATTTGTTAGCATAACGTTAATTTATTAATTTTATTAAAACTTACTTTGATGGCACCTCAAACTTAATTTCGAGCATCATTGGCAAGTTTCTTATTAATAAAGTTCCTGTATTTGATTTGGAATTCAGTAGAATTTTGATTGTTACACTTTTGCCATTCGTATCAATAAATACATCAATGTCTTTATCCGATGTAATCGTAGGGGCAAAAGTCTCAATTATATAATAACCACTTAAAATATATATATATATTAAAATAAAACTCAAATATTATTAAAAATAATTATTTTTTTCTGCTATTACCTGGAATCATATAAATTGTAAAAAGTTTTATGCGATTCATGATTTTCAAATTTTTGTAATTTAGTAATAGAATCTTGCTTTTCATATTCTTGTAATTTAACAATTAAATTGTTGCCTTGTTCAGTAGCTACATTTTCTCCTTGATTTACAATTGCATCATTATTTAGTTCGGTTGTTATGTCTTGTCCATTTTCTTGCTCAAGTTGCTGTAATGTAGTAGCTGCGTCTTTGTGATTAAGATTATGTGCGGCCCTCAACATATCGCGACCATTCTCCATGTTTTTTTCATAAAATTCGCCCAAGAAATAATACTGACCACAAATATATAATGCACCCGCATGATTTTGTTTTACTGCCATATCAAGAAATTCTTTATGTAATTTGATATATGAGTTCTCTTTCATATTTTCTTTGTACTTTTTATGATATATCATAGCTGTAATGTATTGTGCCTCTGCATGACCGTTTCTGGCAACAGGCTCCAAATAACGAAGCGCAAGATCCATATTTTTAGGTTCTCCAGAATACTTCTTTCCTTTATATAAATATAAACCGAAAAAGTAGCATGCATCACTATTCCCTCCCGCGCAAATTTTTCAAATATTGGAAATGCTTTTGAAAACAACTCTTGCGCATGGAAGAACTCAGCCTGATTCATGTCGTATGCAAAATCCTCATCAGAAACTTTCTTGACTGTTGAATTATTATTTGTTTGCATCTCATAAGTGACATTTTCATTATGAGATTTAAAAGAACATTCTTCGATTGTCGAATTGTTATTCGTTTGCATCTCCAAAGTGAAGTTTCCAGTATGAGTAGCTAACGTTAACGGACCACATGATTTTTTAATTAATGAATAAAGATTATATAAGTTTTTAGATATTAGCGACATAGTTGGCCGTTTTTGTGAATCATGGTCCCACGACTGGATCATGATATTATAATAATCATCATAAGGGATGTCCGCTTTATTTATAAACGGCCTTTCCCTAGACGCGATCTTCTTGGATGCAGCCAATGGGCCCTCATTTGAAAATGGCACTTTTTGTGATGCAATTTCATACATGAGCATGCCGAAGCTGAAAGTTATGTTGGGGTGAAATGGTATTGGAATTTATAATATCAATTATCAATACACTATCAGTACCGGAGAAGTTATATTACAAACCTGAATACATCACATTCTTTAGTATACCTTACGTCATTGCAGTCCATCTGTTTATGAACATATAATAATTTTTATTACATTCATCGTTTTTCTCACTAATTGTTATTAGAGCAAACAAATTGGGACACTTCAAGAACACGGAGCCCAGTGATCATCACTTCATATGTTAAATCATGCAATGACTTCATTTGTTTACTAGCACTATAAAATTGACCTAAACTATCCTATCACCTAACACTGACCCTAACTTAGGCCCAAGGACGATGATTTTCTGCGTTCACGGAATTTTGCAGAAAAATCACGGAATTGGTTCAGATCATTTTTAAATATTAGCCTGGATTTAGGATTTAGTCATCATAATGCTGGCTGACATTAATTTGGCCAGAATTTGTGGATTATAATTCTGGCCTATTGCATAATCATCTTTATCACGGACAGAATTGGCATTTTGTCACCGCAGAAAATCATCATCCTTGCTTAGGCCTAACACTTAATCACGTGATGTAATGACCACGAAAATATCACTGGGTTCCTTGTTCTTGAAACTACCCATCAAATTATGCATTTTGTTTAGCCCATTTTCTTTATCAATTGCTCAAATAGTCAGGATATTTGAATGTGATTTATCATTTTATTGTGCTTTTCAAATTACTATGATCAGCAAATCGTGATAGGTTAAAATTATACTGCGTAATTGTATTGGTATTGTGTGTATTATATAAAATTCTAGTATTGAATGTTTTTTTGAAAAAAATTTGATTGCAATAATGGCTCGGTCGATTTCAATGCTTAAGACCATTTATAAATCCTACTAGCCAGTAGAAGATAAGTTCATTTGAAATTTAGGTAAATTATTAATGCTCCTTGATCAAACAATTACAAGATATTATATATAAATGGATGAAATACTAGTGAACTAAAGTTTGACAAGGAATTTTTGGAATCGTGACTTTTTAAGTGGTAATTTTAAAAAATGAAAAATTTAAAGGAATTTTCAGACTTTTGTGTGATTGGCGATTATCTGTTGATCACAGTAATTTGAAAAGCACAATCATTTTTTTTATTGCAGTTCGATCTATTAACTTACCGAAGAATTTCCTGAGACAACTTATAACTCCAAGACTTTTGTGCGATTGATGGTCGGCTTTGTCGAAAATTAGTTAATGATGGACGGAGAAACTCATCCAGCAAGATATTGTGGCTATTAAATAAATAAATAAAAAATGGTTAAAATCGGGATAATTTTTTATTAATTTACTTAATTGTTTAACTGATCAAATTGGAAATAGTTACCTTCTTACTTGGTGATGAAGAATATTTTTTTCGTGGCAATATGATAAAGCACAAGAGATTTCGTATGCAAGCTTGACTTTGATTTCCCACCGAATAGTCTCATGCTTCACGAGGTAACTATATAAGTCTCCTTCCTCGGCCCAATTAAAGTAAACGTAATAGCAGTCACCTTTTAAGGCTATACCTCGTCTAGAATAATAAATAATTATAACGTTCTTATAAATCGAGCATATTTCTGAATATAGAAGATTAAGTAATAAATCTTACAATTTAGCAATGTATTGTGAATCACGTAGGAACTCTGCTATAGCAACTTGACTCCAGAAATTTCGAAATTCCGTTTCATTTGAAAGTTGACCAATTTTTTTTTCTGCAACGGACTCTTGACGATACAATTTTCTAATAACATGTCCTTGACTTCCTCTTATTTGATTGATATTAGGTTCATCGCAGATATCTCTTTCATCAATGAACGTGCGCGAAATTAGTGCTTGAGAGACATTTGCACCTGACAACAGAGCTGCAATTTCCCATTCGTCTCTTTCAACGGTGTTCGTCGTGACAACGGAGTGACTTGCAATTATGTGATATGTCATATCGATGACAACTGAATCCAAATCGTTCTTTAGATCAGCAATCTCCTTTGCAACCTATATTATTTTGCAATAAATTACATTTAAATGTATTTCAAGTTTTAGAAATTTTCTTAAACTCGCGGTATACTAAAAATGGCAAACATGCTTTTTCTATCATGTAAATAAATGAGTTGAATTTTCATGTGTTGATACACCAGCCAATTTATAATAATATAATTCGACTTTACTATTACCTACAGTATGGTGCTTTACACTATGCATTCAAAAAACTGGCTAATTAATCGGTGCAAGGTGTTCTAAGTAGAAATTTCTACGCCAAAAAAACTTTATACCTTAAATTTAACTCTAAATACTAATTCTGACATGAAAAATTTGTATTAAAAACTTTATATACAAAGCTTTATAATAGATGCAAAACCACCATAGGTGTGTTTTATACTAAATGTATAATTCATCGTTGATTTTAATCTTTTTAAAATTTTGATTGGCTGATCAACATGTGATCCACATTGCATATTGTTTGATTGGTTAAATTGATACGGTTCTGAGTCAACCAAGGCTTTCCATATTTGGAACGGTCTTACCTGTAATAACCACAACCCGGAAATCCGACCCACCCGGGTTGACCTGACCCGGGTTGAAACACTACTGGGGACCTTAATTTAAAAATATAAACCCCACTATAACCCTAAATCATAAAAAAAAGAACCTAAAAAATTATCCTAAAATTTTGAATAATAAATAGAGTTTGATTTCACGATCATCCGTGACATTAAATTTTTATCTGACTCAATTTTAATTCTGCACACGACATTATTTCGTTTAACTGGATTTAATGTTTCCTGTCTTTTTTCTTTGATCATAGACTTCTAACATTTGGGATCTTTGCTAGGAAAATCACCCTTCGGGGTTTTCCGATCAGGCTAATTCGGAAAAGCTTAGACCAGAATGCCAGTTCTTATTCATATGTAAATCTCCTTTTGCTTTATTTATTCGATATTTTATTAAATAAACTGTCGAATCAGTAAAGTAAAAAGACGTTTACATGTGAATAAGAACCGACATTCTGGTCTAAACTTTTCCGAATTAGCCGATCGGAAAATCCCAAAGGTGATTTTCCTAGCAAAGATCCCATTTATTAAGTCAAAACTTCGTACATTGTGGGCTTTCTTTTTAAACAATAACAAATGGAACAAGGTCTTCAAGCAAAGCTCAAAAAAGACTTTTTGAGTGCATCTACATTCAACAGTGCAGAAACTTTGGTGCCCATCGCCAACTGTGACAGTAAAAAGGATCTCATCCTGGACATTACCAGACTTTTAATAGATATCTCGGATTTGGTTCCAAAACCGTTTGCTATAGATATGGCATCTATTTTGAAATTAGTTATAAAAAAGGCAGAAAGTGCTGTGGAAAATACGAAGTACTGTTATGATTTAGTTGTTAGGCTGATTTGTGCTGCAGAAACTATCGTTATGGGATTAAAGAATAAACCACATGGCTATGAACTCGGACCAGAAAATCTTAGAAGATTCCAAACTATGTTACAAAGAACACTAGAATGGATAGAAAAGTTTCAGGACTCCAAAAAGTCAAGAAAAATCTGGAATTTATTAACTTCAGACAAGGTGAGATAATCTTATGTTTAGCTATTATTAGAGGTTGCAGTATTCGATCGATATATGGGAAGAGTCAATAGAAAAGAGACAAATCAATTTCATAACACCTTCTAATCAAATTTGATAAAAATGATTAAATTTGATTAGATGTTAATTAAACATTTCTTAGAAAGAATTTGTTCCTTTTATATTGACTCCCATATAGAAATAATAATTTAATTTACCGTACATTTCAGGATTAGGTCGACTTTTAGGTTAACATTACGTATTTTCCGAATCAAGTGATATTTGTTGCATACGGGTTTATTTCTGTATTTACAAACTTAATGAGGAACCTTCTAGCTAAATTCGGTTAAACATTTTTAGTTATTCTAAAAACAAATAGAATTATAATAAAAAATTTTCATTGAATTTAACTGTGGTTGCTGAAATATCTTCGTTAATTTCAAGTAGAAATCGCTGTAAACTTTACTAAACTTTGAACGAAGCGATTTCGACAATCAACTTAACTAAATTCAATATATCTTTTTTTATTTATATTTTAATTCTATATTTTTTTATATATATTTTAATTCTATATATTTCTAGAATTACTTAAGATAGTTTCATCGAATTTAGTTAATAGCTAACGAGATATATTCGCTACGCACTCTAGAGTTTGCAATGTACAATTTTACAAACCAGATTGACCATAAAGTCTGCATCTATATGTAGTACGTACGTAAAAGTTTAATTTTCGTCATTATATTATACAATAAAAGCACCATCATCACATTTAAAGATGAGATTACCTAGGCTAGCATTTTGAAGTTCGGGTGTGCAACTTAAATTTTGGACCTTTGCTAACAAAATGACATTCGGGACTATGTAAATATTTCGTTAACAATAGCTCCTATTTATCAGGCAGTCAAAATCTCAATTAAATTCGAGGTGAAGATTGGCACTAGTATGCCCAAACTTCTGAGGGATCACCCTAGAGTAATCTTTAAAACGACGAAAAATTAACTCTAACCAGACTATAGATGCAGACTTACTCACGTCACTTAGTTATGTCCTATAAAAAAGTTACATCAAACTGGTTTATAAAATAAATCACAAAGCCAGAAATTTCAGAGTCTATTGTTCACATGAGTATGAATGTCGGATTTTCGGAATAAAATTATTCATTCTTCGAATAAATGATGTTAATCTAAAAATCAACGTTGAATTATACATTTAGTATAAA